CTCTTCCTTCCTCAGAGCCACAGCTTCCAGTTTGGCTTCGTACTCGGCTTGCACTTGGTCCCTCTTCTTCAGCACGCTCTGTGGGAGAGAGAAAGGGCAGCGTGAACACAGCTGTTGCTTCTGTACGCCGTTCCTCCTTGAATCATGGCCCCAGCCAGCCAAGTGCTCCTAGGACGGTCTGGCTGCAGCATGACACACGCTCTGGAGGCAGCAGGGGTGGAGGAGGGAGAGGGAGAACCATGCTCAGAGACGGAGCTTTCTAGCACGGTAACTCAGCCTGACGCTGAAAGCAACAGAGGCCCGGGAAAGGGCGAGACAGGAGGAGCGGTGCCCACCAGCAGGCATGCGCACGGGAGGACCCTCGGCCTCCCTGTCCACAGGGAGAACTCAGCTGTGCCAAGACGTGGAGCCTGGCAGATGACAAGGCGGGACGTTCTCTGAACCGTTAATGAGAAAGTCTAAGTCACGAGAGTTCTTGTCTCTTTAATTCACTGAGTTGACCCTTGGTGGACTGATTTGCTCATTGATCATTATTAGCTACTTATCTGTCCTCCACTCTGAGCCAGTTATGCAAAGAGCAAAGAGATACAGCTCGTATCTGAGAGGTTCCAGCTAAGGGAGAGGTTCAGACACGGTAGGAGGCTGCTTGTGCTCAAAGAGCCACGGACGAGGCCAGAAGCCCTGCAACCACGCAGCAAGCCCGCCAGAGTGAGCGGTGACGGGAGCCAGGCTGGGTGGAACAAGGCGGAGGCAAGCCAGGCACCCAGGATGCAAAATTTAAGGAGACACTCAGTCTTGGGCCCTGTGCAAGTTCAAGGTTGGCACCTGAGTGTGTTTCCCTAAATCTATGCCCTGGGCACCTCCCTCGCCTCATCTGCTCCTGGCTCTGCTGCTAAGACCTCACCAGGTAGAATAGAAAAGTATCGGTTTCATCCCAGGGTTTCTTTTTTCTTCTTTTAGTAGAACCACAAGTGACAAACCAAGAGTAATAACAACTTTCTTTGCCACTAACTCAGAAGACACAAACTGTTATGAGAGCTTCAAATCTCACGTTCACTGGCAGAGCATGGGTAGTCCGGGCAGGAAGGAGCCATTCCTTGGCTAAAGAAGTGGACACCCTGTGTCCCCAGCACGTGCTAAAAGGTGATGAGTGACTGAATCACTGAGAACGCTCTGACGCTTCTAATGGAAGGCGTCAGCATGGGGAACCTCAAGTCTCCCCTAAGTAAGTATTTACTTGGAAAAGTGTTTCACCACTAGAAGAACATGAAGTAAAACTTGCAACAGCTTCCCTTTTCATTGTTTGTCACTCAGCATTCTCTTCGGCGCTCTGAAGTTACCTCCCCACACTCATCAGCCTCTGAGCAGGAACACTGATGGTGCTGTTCACAGAACTTTGTGTTGTGATGGAAACGTTCCATGATCTGCACTATCCAGTACAGTGGCTGCTCGTCCCATGTGCCGACTGAGCTCTTGAAATGTGGCTGGTGTGACTGAGGAACTGGATTTAAATTTTTATTAATTTTACCTAATTTGATTAAACTGAAATAACAGGACTTCCCTGGTGGTCCAGTGGTTAAGAATCCACCTTCCAATGCAGTGGACGTGGGTTCGATCCCTGGTCGGGGAACTAAGATCCCACAGGCCGTGGGGCAACTAAGCCCACACGCCACAACTACTGAGCCCGTGAGCCACAATGAGTGAGGCTGCATGCTGCAACTACCGAGCCCGTGTGCTCTGGAACCTGTGTGCCACAACTAGAGAGAAGCCCGCACACCACAACTAAGACCCGACACGCCCAAAAATAAAATAAAATAAAAAAATAAATATTTAACTGAAATAGCCACCTATGGCAAGGGGCTGCCATACTGGACAGAACAAATCAATAAAGTAAAAAAATAGAACAAAAAAACAGGGGACCTTTCTGGATTTCATAGAGCCAAAAGCATTCTAAATCTACTGGTCTGGTATCAGCACTAGCTGCTCTCCATGGAGACACAAATATGGTTCCCTCGGGGCCAGGGGCAGGGGCACCTAGAACCCATGCCATGGACTCCCTTCACAGGACACCTCACATCTTACTGGGAAAAGCGCACATCCAGGCTAGGAACAGGGTTCCAGGAACAAGGATGAGTTGTTCCAGTGACACACCCCTGTCAGTGTGGCAAGAACCTCACAACCAAAGCTAGAAATGCTCTTAAAACAATACCTTGGAACACAGCACAGCTGTGTGTGTTTTGCTCTCTGCTGTATCCCCAGCACTTGGGTAAGTGAATGAAGGAATGTTAAGGCAAGGCAGAAACAGGGTGAGGATGGCTGTGTAGGGTGGGGCAGGGGCATGCAGAGTGGAACGCAAGTATCTCCATGCCCCTCACCTTGTTGATTTCTGGTATCCACTAGAATCAGAGATCCCTATAGATCTCTGTGAGAAGCTCAGATGGTAAATGTCTGCAGGGACTAGCCTCCCACCCAAAGCAGCAGATTCTGCCGATAAATCTGGCCACACTAGCCTGTGGTTGAGGGGGCCTGAGCCTACAATGGAGTGAAAGGGCCAAGATACTTGTCAGCATCTGCAGAGAAGTTCCTGGGGCCTCCTGTCCCCAGTTCTGCTCCAAGTCTCTCTGTAGAGGTTGCCCAGGCCCCCGGGCAGGGAGGGACGGTGAGAGGAGCCCTGTCAGCTCCACTCAGCTAAATGCATCTCCTCTCCCTACCCCCAAAGCAGGCAAGGGGGCCCCAAGATTCAGCCACACTCCCCACCTGCCCCCACTACTGGGACCGTGCCTTCCTTGGCCTAGAGGAGAGGTAAGGGCTCTGTCTCCTCAGGCACTGCAATCCCAGCCTCACCTGGAGCAACCAGACACTGCCTTCTCATGAAGCCTGACTGGAGGATTTGGGCTAACATCCCTGCCTCAGTGGACAGCGGAAAAAACTCACAACAACAACAAAAGCTCACAACGACCCTGCGGAAGTGAAAGGATGCCACCCCCATTCTACAGGCAAGAACACTAAGGCACCATGGAGGGACCTGGTTGAGGCCACACTGCTGGCTAAGAGCACAGTGGTGACTCACTCAGGCTTCTCCTGCTGCGTTCCAGGGCACAGCGTGGCTTCCCAGCCTGACTGCAATCCAACCAGGCTAAAGGCTGGGAAACCTGTTTTGAATCAAGATAAACTGTGGAAGACTACCATCCTTGCTGGGAGCACCTTTGAACACCACGGTCGATGGTCTGTAGGGACTGGCCTCCCAGTCGAAACAGCACAGATTCTGCAGATTAACCTGGCCACACTAGCCTCTGGTTGAGGGGGCCTGAGCCTACAATGGAGTGAAAGGGCCAAGATACTGTGTCAGCATCTGCAGAGAGGTTCCTCTATCACTGAGTGACAAGCAAAAGACATTTATCATCTGAGCTTCTCACAGAGATCTATAGGGATCTCTGATTCTAGTGGATACCAGAAATCAACAAGGTGAAGGGCGTGGAGATGCTTGCGTTCCACTCTGCATACCTCTGCCCCTGCTCTACACAGCCATCCTCACCCTGTTTCTGCCTTGCCTTAACATTCCTTCATTCACTTACCCAAGTGCTGGGGATATAGCAGAGAGCAAAACACACAAAACCCCTGCCTACCTGGAGCTTACATTCTAGAGGGGAGGCAGATAATGCACAAGTAAAATATAACAATATAGCGTGTGTAAGGTAGTGCTAGGTGTCCAGGAGGAAAAATAAAATAGGAAAGGAGGATGTAAAGCACTGAGGGTTTGGGAGATGACGAATTGTACACCGGGTGGCCAGGGAGGACCTCAATGAGGGGTGACTTTTTTTAAAAATAAATTTATATTCTTTTATTTATTTTTGGCTGAGTTGGGTCTTCGTTACTGCGCGCGGGCTTTCCCCAGCTGCAGGGAGCGGGGGCTACTCCTCGTGGTGTGCCGGCTTCTCATTGCGGTGGCCTCTCCCGCTGCAGAGCACGGGCTCTATGCTCAAGGGCTTCACTAGTTGTGGCAGATGGGCTCTAGAGCACAGGCTCAGCAGTTGTGGCGCACGGGCCCAGCCACTCCGCGGCACATGGGATCTTCCCGGACCAGGGCTCGAACCCGTGTCCCCTGCACTGGCAGGTGGATTCTCAACCACCGCGCCACCAGGGAAGCCCGAGAGGTGACTTTTAATTAGAGAAATGGAATACATTTCTCTCAAACGCTACATATATTTTTTTAATGTAGAGCATTTCATCACAATTTCAAAAGGATCCTAGTAATCTGCAACTTCACTACCCTTCTTTTCAAATGCAGAGGAAAAAAATGACTTGTTTCTTTAATAAATAAATTGCAAGGAAAAACAGAGGGGGAGGGATTCTTAAAATATTTTAAAAATATATCAAGCAATGTATGGATTTTATTTATATCCCAATTTGGGAAAAAACTATAAAAACAGTGTCTGAGACAACTGGGGAAATTGAACACTAACTGGATATTTGAGGAAATATTAAGGGGGAAAAAATCTGTTTAGGTGTGATAATAATGTGGTCCTTTTTCTTTTTTTTAAAAGAATGTTTGCATTTCAGAGATATGTATTTTTGTATGAAGTGATGTGATGCCTGGGATTTGCTTTAAAATAACCCAGGGGGCGGGGGCTGGGAGCAGGGGGATGAGAGCTAGAACAAGATGGACCGTGAGTGGGCGACTGCTGCAGCGGCTGATGGGTACGTGGGGGACGGTTATACTTCTACCCTACTTTTGGATATGTTCGAATTTTTCCATAATAAAAAAGTTAAGCAATGGAAACATAACACCTGTCATCCAAAATGTTTACTTTACAAACTAATAACAGCCATTAAACAAAAGTGTTTGGAAGTTCAATCATAGATACATTCTGTGTTTTGGCTCTCAACATCTGCACTGGATTTTCTCCAAGAACGTGCCACAATGGTCAGTATCAATAGGAAAGCCCAACATCCAGGCAACTGGAAAGTCTCCACCCCCAGAGCTCATCCCCATGTCTCCCCCTGAGGAGGCTGTCAGCTCACAAACGTGGAGGAGGAGGAGACAGCAGCCAAAAACAGCCCCAATGCAAATGGTCAGC